TTTGAGGAAATTTGGGAATGGTAGGGATATTTAAAAAAAAAAAGATCTTGGCCAAGAAATTGCTAAGTCTGGTCATGTTGAGATATTCAGCGAGCTGCTTAAACCACGTTGGGATTGTTTATCACTGTGCATCACCGGGCTTAAACCAGGGTGAACTGGTCCTTATGAGAGCAATCTCACTTTTAGGGGTTACAAGGAGCTGTACCAGGGACTGAACCTGGGGACACTCGACCACTGAGCCACATCCCCAGCCCTATTTTGTATTTTATTTAGAGACAGGGTCTCACTCAGTTGCTTAGCACCTCACTTTTGCTGAGGCTGGCTTTGAACACGTGATCCTCCAGTCTTATTTTTTAAATGTTAATAGTCTTTTGATTTAAGAAGTAACTCATAAGAAAGCATGAATATTGTATGATTCCACTTATTTGACTACCCAGAGGAGTCAGATTTCATGGATACAGGGAGTGGTTTTGCCAGAGTCTGGGGGGAAGGGGAAATGAGAAATTATTGTTTAATGAGCACAGACTTTCAGTTTGGGAAAAAGAAAAAATGTTCTGGAGCAGGGAGTGGTGAGTGACGGTTGTGCAACAATATACTTAATGCTACAGAATTGTTCACTGAAAAACGGTCAAGTGGTAAATTAACGCTATGTATATTTTACAATAATAAAAATGTGAAAATAGAACTATTAATAAAAAGGTATCACATGGAACTAAGGGGTGGAATATACAGTAAGATAGTTTTTAACAAGGCAGAATTCTAGGGTGCAGGTAATATTCTATTCCTTATCCTGGATGGTGGTTTCATAGGTTTTGATTTTATAATATTTTGTCAAGCTATTCTTCTATGCAATTTTGTGCCTCTATGTTATGTTTCATAATAAAAAGTTGGGACAGTGTATGGGAGTGATGAATACTTCAAAATAATCAGTCATGAACTTACAAATCTAGCCAGAGATAATCACTATCAATGATTTTAATTATTTCCTTTCTTTTCTTCTCTGCGTATGTATTTGTTATTCACTCATTTATTCAACCAGCATCTATAGGACACTATTTTAAGTGCTAGGATGTATTACTTATCTATGGCTGAGTTGAGAATTACCCCAAAACTTAGCATCTTGTTTCAACTAGTATTTATTTTCTTAGAATGTCTGTAGGTTAGGAATCTGGACATGGTTTGCCTTGATGAATTTAAGACCTCTCATGAGGATGTGGTCACAATAGGCCATTGTCTCATATAAAACCTAGAACGGATCCACTTCCAGGCTCACTGTCCTGACTCTTGGACCTAGGGACCTGAGTTCCCGGCTAGTTATTGGCTTGAGGCCTCTTGCAGTTCCTTGCTGAGGGATGTCTTCACAGGGTTGCTGGCTTCTCCACAGATGCCCTTGCAAACCCAGAATCTATCATTAGTCAGAAGTCCCCAACCGTGTATGGTAAAGCCCTAATTTAAAGTATCTCATAATGTTACCGTATAGGGTCTTGAAAGTCAAATGAGGTAATAACAGTGGGGTTTACTCTGATAGGACTTGTGTCCTCACAAAAAGAGGAAGAGGGCTGGGATGGAGCTCCATGGTGGAGCACTCTCCTAGCCCACACAAGGCCTTGGGTTTGCTCCCCTGCACTGGAAGAGAAGAGAAAATAAAAGGTGAAAAAATAAAAGAAAAGAAAGGACAAAAAATAAGAAATGAAAAGACACCAGGGATTCATGTGCACAGAGGAAGGACCATGTGAAGACGCAGCTAGGAGGCAAAGAAAGCCTCAATCCAACAACTTGACCTTGGTCTTTAGAATGCTAAGGAATAAATTTCTGTTGTTTACGCCCTGCCCCAGCTTGTGGCATTTGGTTGTGGCAGCCCTAGCAAATGAAGACATTAGACCTCTCCTCTCCCATCTCCACCTGACTTCCCATTCGGTTCCTGTCAGGGCTGAAGTGCCTCCAACCACCTATAGAGCCCTCTGCAGTCCAGCCCTACCCTTTTCTGCAACCTTGTCTCCGGCCCCTCTCGTTCGTTCTGTTCTAGTCCCTCAGCACTTTGCTTTCCCTCCAACACAGCATCTGGGTCCTTTGCCCTTGCTGGCAGTTCTGCTGAGACGCTCCTTCCCCAGACAGGCACGTGGCCCTCGCCTTCACCAGCTTCCCTTCTTGCTCATCCCTGCCCATCCATCTAAAAGAACACTGCCCACAGCCACGTGTGATAGGTAGCAAACGTCTGTATTCTCATCGATGTAGGAGGCTGAGGCAGGAGGGTAACTAGTTCAAGGCCAGCTTCAGCAACTTACTGAGACCCTGTCTCAAAAAATAGAAAAGGCTGGGGATGTGGCTCAATGGTAAAGGGCCCCTGGGTAAGCAGTGCCCACGCATGACGCCCAACTCTTGCTGGCTTTGGCTTTCTTTCTCTTTTTAGCTCTCATCGCTCATCTAAAACATACTATATATTTTACTTATTTATTGTTTTATTGTCTGTCTCTATGCCAGAATGAAATTTCCAAGATGGGGGATGTGCATCTTTTTTTTCCACTGCTGAAGCTTCAGGGTCTGAAGGGTGTCTTACACATAGTCCCTGCTCCATATTTATTTCTTGCATGAATTAAAACAAAATTTGAAGGCAGAGAATTTTTTTTTTAAATTTAAATATATTTGATTATCAACAGTTCAGATACAATGCGGAGTCACTTGTATTTACTCCTCTGTTTTGTCTATTCATGTCCTTTGGACATTTGCTTTAGTCAACTATTTTGCTGCTGGGACCAAAAGACCAGACCAGAGCCATGTAGAGGAGGAAAAGTTTATTTGGTGCTCACAGTTTCTGAGGTCTCAGTCCATAGACAGCCGGTTCCATTGCTCTGGGCCGGAGATCCAGCAGAACATCATAGCAGAAGAGGAAGGACCAGACAATCAGGAAGCACAAAGACCTCTGCTGACCCGGGACCAAATAAATAAGGCAAAGACGCCCCTCGTGACTTACCTCCTCTAGCTGCACCCGAATTGCCAATTAAATCTGTTAATCCATTCAAGTGGATTAATGCACCGATCAGGCTCTCACAACCCAATCCTTTCGCCTCTAAACTTTCTTGCATTGTCTTCACACATGAGGTTTTCAGGGACCCCTCATGTCTAAACCTTAATAGTCATGTTTAAAAATTAATAGTCTAAATAGAATGCTGTCTCTGTGTTGATAGTGTCTCTCCTCCAGATATTAGTACCTAGTATGAGTTAGACAGGGGGGAGATCTATATGCCATGTATTGTGACATATATTTTGTCAATAGCCTTTAAATTATTTCTCAAGAAAAATATATTTTTATGTGGTTAAATCTACTCTGAGGTCTTTCTCTGAGATAAATTTAGGAGGTTATTGTTGATTTTTTTAAAAGTTTTTGGTGCTGGGCTTAACCCCAGTGGTGCTTCTACCACTGAGATCCATCTCTGGCCCTTTCTTATTTTTCATTTTGAAACAGGGTCTCACTAAGTTGCTTAGGGCCTCACGAATTTTGGTTGGCCTCAAATTTGTGATCCTCCTGTCTTGATTCCCCGTTTGCTGGGATGACAGGTGTTTGCCACTGTTCCCATTTCAGCTTGGTTTTAAAGCAGCAATTTTGAATAATTCAGTCAACTCCCTAGGAAATCTTCCTGCCTTTATTTCCAGAGGTCCCTCTGATGTTCATTTATATGAAACTCACTGACTGGGGCAGGCAGAAATAAGGTGTTTTTCTGTAAAGAGTGTCTGTTTTTATAGCAATAATGACAAATGGATTTTGCCCTGGTGAAATCATAATTGTCAGCAAACAGTCATGCAGGTTTAGGAATTTTTTAAATTCTTATTTTTATTTTATTTTTTTAATATTTATTTTTTTTAGTCATAGGTGAACACAATCTCTTTATTTATTTTATGTGGTGCTGAGGATCGAACCCAATGCCTCACACATGCTAGGCAAGTGCTATACCTCTGAGCCACAACTCCAGCCCTTATTTTTATTTGTTATGGTGCTGTCTAGGGTCCAGTTCTACCAGATTTGAGTTTTGTGGCTGATGGTTTGTCTCAGCAGCAAGATACTGTGCATTTTCTAAGCTGACTTGTTTCTAGATGCCAATCACCAAATTAGCCTTTCCTAGTCCAAGGTCCTATTTTGCAAACTCTGGCGGAAAAAAAAAAATATATATATATATATATATATATCAAAGCACACGCACAAAAAAAAATTATTGGTTCTCTCCTTCCTTCCTTCCTTCCTTCCTTCCTTCCTTCCTTCCTTCCTTCCTTCCTTCCTGGGATTGAACCCAGGGGCACTTAAGCACCGAACCACATCCCTATCCCTTTTTTGTATTTTATTTAGAGACAGGGTCTCACTGAGTTGTTTAGGTCCTCGATAAGTTGCCTTAGCTGGCTTTGAACTCACAATCCTCCTGCCTCAGCCTCCTGAGATCTGGGATTACAGGCGTGCACCACCACGCCCGGCTATTGTATATTCAGATATACATGACAGCAGAGTGTATTTTGACATCTTGTACATTCATGGAGTATAATTTCCCATTCTTGTGGTTGTACATGGTGTAGAGTTTCATTGGTCCTATATTCATATATGAACATAGGAAAGTATTGTCTGATTCATTCTACTGTGTTTCCTATTCTCTGCCCTCCTCCCTTCCCTTCATTCCTCTTTGTCTAATCCCATGGGCTTCTATTCTTTCCCTCCTCAACCTCCCTGTTGTGAGTCAGCATCCACATATCAGAGAGAACATTTGGGCTTTGTTTTTTGGGGACTGGCTTATTTCACTTAGCCTGCTATTCTCCAGTTCCATCCATTTACCTGCAAATGCCATAATTTCATTCTTCTTTGTCTCTGAGTACTATTCCATTGTGTATATATAGCATATTTTCTTTATCCATTCATCTGTTGAAGGGCACCTAGGTTGGTTCCATAGCGTGGCTATCATGAATTAAGCTGCTACAAACATTGACAAGACGAGTTGAGACCTTGAGCCCTCAAAAGCAAGATGGCGGTTCTCTTGAGGCTGGATGTCCTCTGCGGTGCTCAAGGAGGCAGAGCTCTGTTCCTCCGAACCCCATTGGTCAGATCTGCTCAGCATTTCTCCAGGATCAACCTACCCCAGAATGGACTGGAACACAGCACATTAACCTGTCACCAAACCGCCATTCTGGTTCCAAGGCTGCATCTCTTCACTGGACTAGTGAGAGGGTTGTCAGTGTTTTGCTCCTGGGCCTGCTTTCAGCTGCATATTTGAATCCTTGCTCTGCAATGGACTACTCCTTGGCTGCAGTCCTCACTCTTCATAGTCAGTGGGGCCTTGGACAAGTTGTCACTGATTATGTTCATGGGGATGCATGGCAGAAAGCTGCCAAGGCAGGCCTTTTGGCACTCTCAGCTTTAACCTTTGCTGGGCTTTGTTATTTCAACTATCATGACCTGGGCATCTGCAAAGCTGTTGCCATGCTGTGGAAGCTTTGACCTTTTTGACTTGAGAATTGATTGTATGCCTCTGCCTCTGCTCTGTCATTCAACTCACAATAAGGAGGAAATAACAGAAAGCTCATTGGTGGGCAAACCTTCTTCTAATCACATGGTTATTTTATAATTTCATTGTTGAGGAAAAGGTTTGAGAGGAAATGTATTCAAGAAATGATGAGACCCAGTTCTGCATTCTAGTGAGTTAATGGGGTTGTCTTCAAGCTCATGAGACTCACAGTATGACCTAAGCTTTATGTATGAGCTTTTGCTTTTGTCAGTCTCTTAAAGAGAATTTAGCTTTATTGTTACCAATATATGATCATTTCTGCATTTGTCTTGGAAGTAAGGGACAAAGGGAAAGATTGTTAATTCATGACTTTGCAAAAAATTAGATAGTGTTTACTTTTGGAAACTTCCCTGTCCAGTTGATACCAGCTACTGATGGTTTTATGTCCCAGGGAAACTTTAAAATGCTAAAATCTCCAATTACATATTTCTATATCCTAGGAAGGAAAGATTGGAGAGCTTCTGAATTTAGAGATGCTCCAGTTAGAGAAGAAGTCTTCCTTGTAGACATATCAGAATATTACAAATTCCCAACAGATATAATCCTCCAATGTGTTTTACTTGTCTTAAAATAATCTGTCCACAAATATAAAACTAAAAATAACAAATTACTTTCCCACTGTGGGAATTGGTAATAAGAAAATGTATTCCATGAAAAGAAAATTAAAAAAATAAAATGAAATATAATAAAATGTATTCTACTCTTTAAAAAAAATAAACATTGACGAGAAGCACACACACACACACACACACACACACACGCAAAGAAATTTTTTTTTTAAGTAATGTGCTAAATTTTACACAGGAGTAAATATTAAATGACTGCAGAGGTTGCTAGTAACTAGAACAGACACCAGCAAAAACTGACCAATCAGAAAAGACACCAGCAGCCAGTCTAACCAATCAGAACAAAAGCCAGCTGTAAATGACCAGCATTGCCCTCCATTCTGAGACCCGCTCTTGGATAGTGAGACCAGGAGTGTCAAACATCTGCTCTGGGATACAAGGCACTGTTGTCTTATCTCGAGACTTCACAGCAAATGACGTCCTAGAGCTCGGTGGAAGGCCCCCCCCAAGTAACCTCCTTTGAAGCCTTCAGCAAAGCCACCTTTACCAAGCTCTGGCTGTAGCAGAGTCATCAGAGGAGAGGGAAGAGGGAAGCTGTTTGTAAGTTGGAGATAAGTAGTGTTAGAGGTGTTTGGGGTGAACTGCTTACGGGTTGCAAAGTCGTGGCTGTCAATGTCATACTGCCAGCATCCAGAATCTCCAAGATCTTGAGAAATCTTTGGGAGGGGTGTAGATTTCCTGAAAATAGGATGTGGTTTCAAGATATCATCATCATCATCATTTAATTAAAGGAAAGGGTACGTCTGGAAGAGTAAAACCATTGGGCATGCTTTAGCATGGACATATTGAAAAACCAGGGGAAGGTTTAAGAACACCATCTTCAGAGTCAGGTGAACACTAGGTGTGGTTCAGACACAAGATAAGTGACCTAAATCATGCGCTTTTCCCAAAATCTCCTTTATCTTTAAAGTGAGTATAATACTGGCATCCACTCCCCTAGGGTAGCCATGAGGGTTAAAAGGAGTAACCCTTGTGTCCATTTGCTGGGCACAGTGAATGAAACAGTCAATACTGGCTGTCACTGCAGAATCCCTGCGGTCCTCACCACCAACACCATGCAAAAACTCCAGTTAAGGATGTTCTCACATTCCCTCCTAATCTCTAAGAGACAGAGAGCGGGGTTGCAACTCATGAATGGGAGAGGCCAGATCAAGGGCTGGGAGAAAAATGCCAGGGCAGGGTAATGGACTGTTAGTTCCAAAGATTCCCAAGGGGTCAACACAGGGAAGTCACAACACCGAGGGGAGCTAGCTTCATTTGGCTTTAGGGAAGAAGAGAAGGGAAGTCCTTGGGGCGAGGTTTGATTGTCCACGTATCTGTTAAGAGATTTTGGAAGGAGGTTAGCAGTGGTTATAAAATACCAAGGCAGGTTTTGAGAAGCACAATTTTAGACTAAGAGGGCCTCTCAGTCTCAAATTTTATTCCTTGATTTTCTTTTTTTTTAAAAATCACCTCTAGGACATTTAAGGTAGTCAGAGTAAAATGTTTTCTTGGTGATTTTTGGTCAGCACTGGTAAGATGAGGTGAGGTGGGGTTAGAGGCCAGATCAGGTGAGGCCAGGTCAGGTAGGTACTATCATGCTCTGCGGGAGGGAATGTAAATAAATGTAACCTCTTTGGACAGCAACTTGGCAATGTGCTACACAATGTCTTTGGTGTGGTGTCCCATGGAAATGATCAGAAATTTGGCCAGTTAAAGGGAGGCCATCAGTATTGTTTATGTGAGTGTCAAAAAGCACATTATAGTGATATTGTGTGCATGTACGAATATGTTACAACAAATCCCGTCAGTATGTACAACTATAATACACCAGTAAAAATGTGGGAAAAATTAAATTTTAAAAGCACATAAAAATACTGTGAAGGAACTCATAAAAATTTGACCAGTTCTTATATTTGGGTAGTGTGATTATTAAAGTACAATGATTACTTCATTGTACTTTAAAAACTTGCCTAAATTTCTCCAATATGTTACTTATAAGAAAATCTGTTTAAAAATAAATGGATTATTTTTAGGGCAGTGAAACAGTAATGGTGGGAATATCTCATACATTTGTTCAGACTCATAGAACACACACACTATCAAGAGTGAACACTCGTTTAGATTATTGACTTTCAGTGATAATGATGTGGCAATATAGATCAGTTGTGACCGATGTACCACTCTGAGGGAGGGATGTGGATAATAGGGGAAGATATGTGTGCATGGGTGGGGAGGCCAGGGGATCTAAGAATCTCTGTACCTTTCTCTCAACTTCACTGTAAACTTAGAACTTCTCTTATGGTGCGAGAGACACAGGGTGGCTGGTTGTGGATCCCCTCCTTGATCTCCTCTCTCCGTTTGTTGATTTTGCTGTGGACGGTGGGCTGGGACTCCTGGTGTCCCTCAGCATAGATGGAGCTCTGCAGGGGCTGTCCTCACTGGCAAGCAGCCCAATGAGCCTGTCAGAGCCATGGGCAGGCCGCCTCCCCACGGGGACACTCCAGGCTAGCTCAGCTACTTGGCCTGGAGCAGTGGAGGAAATAGAATGGAGAGAGGGTTTCCTAACCAGGCATTTTTTTTTCCTTTAGAAAGTTCGCTGTCACGCCTGGTGTCTTCGGCTGGATTTATCTTGGCTGATGAGAACTTATTGAGTTTCACAGACCAGGAGGAAGACCGCGTGGCTGTTGACTTTTTCGCAGGAGAGGTTCATCCATTCGTTCATCCATCCCTGTGGTCACTGCTCCTCCTGGGTGTCAAGAACAGTTTTGGGCACTGGAAATACGTCTAGGAACAAACCTCTGCCTTTATGGAGTGTGTTGCCTGCAACTGGGGGTGAGAGTCAATGTTCATTCAATGCACAGAAGAGAAACAGAGGAAGAAAGAGGATGAGCGGGTGAAGGGTGTGTGTGTGCGTGTGTTCCTTTAGGTAGAACATTTGCCAAAGGCCTCCTAATAGAGAAATATGTGAACTGAGACCTGAAGTAAGGGGGGGCGGGAGCAAGCCATGTGCCCATCGCAAGGAAAGACTTTCTCTCTCTTTTTGCCCCTACCTTTGTTACTGGTACATTGTGGTCATACATAATGGGGGGATTCGTTGTTGTGTTTGTATGTACACACGGTACAACAATATGACCCGGTCATTACCATTTCCCAGCATTTCTCCTTTCTCTCAAGGAAACCTTTCTAAGCAGGAGGAACAGCAACATGAAGACCCCAAGGACAAGCCCAGCGAGGGGGACTGAGGTATAGGGAGGAGGCCAGTGTGGGTGGAGATGGGGTTGGAGTGATGGGATTTTAAAGAGCTTTGCCTCCAACTCTGAATGAATGGAAGATCACCAGAGTACTTCAAGTAGACAGGACATCTAGCTGCAGTGGTTCTCAGCCTTGGCTGCACAGTGGATCTCCTGAGAAGCTTTATAAATCTTGAGTCCCCCTTTTAAGCAGCTCCAGTGCTGCTGTTACTGCTGGGGCTCCTGGGTTTGGGTGGGGACTGAAGCCTAGCTTCTGATCTGGTCCCTTCTGGTGTTTGGTCTCTATCTTCATCTCTTTTGTGTAACTATAACAGAATGCCCGAGACCAAGTAATTGACACAAAACAGAGATTTCTTTCTTATAGTGCTGGGAGCTGGGAAGACCAATGTCAAGGTGCTAACACCTGGGGAGGCCTTCTTGCCCCATCATCCCAGAGCAGAAGGCAGAGGGCAAAAGCAAGAGAGAGCGAGCCTGCTGGCCTCACCTTTACAACCAGCCCACGCTTGAGTTAAGTAACCTCTCCTGTGATGACAGCCTGAGCTCAGTCACGAGGGCAGAGTGCGCAGACCTCACCTCTCCTTAGGCCTCACTGCCCAACACTGTCATACTGGGGATTAAGTTTCCTACACATGAACTTGGGGGGACATCATCAAACCACAGTGCCTTTTCTAGTGACGCTGCTCTTTCTCAGTTTTTTGAGAATCTGGATGAAGAACAGAGATGCTATTTATTGGAGAAAACCCTTGGAGCACCATCATGAATCAGCCGTGTGTGTGTGTGTGTGTATGTGTGTGTCTGTGTGTGTGTGTGTGTGTGTGTGTTTCCTCCGGCCACATTCAACTACCCAAAGAGCAGTGCCATCTTGGTGGTGAATTACCAGGGTGAAATGGGAGAGGGTAGGACTAACAGATTGTAGGTCCTGGTGGGATCAAAGATTATTGGTCAAAACATCAAGTTGAAACTGATCCTGGTGGTGCCTGCTACCAGGGAGGTTAAGGCAGAAGGATCATGAGCTCAAAGCCAGCCTTGAACTTAGCAAGGCCCTGTCTCTATGTTAATCAATTAATTAAAACACCAAGTTGTATACTTAAAGGTATACGATTTCTATTTGTAAATTATACCCCAAGAAAACTGGGAGGAAATAGAATTGTTGGAGTCAGGGTCAAGAAAGAGAAAG